TCATTTTAAATGTTTTAAGTTGTTTTGATTTTTTGTTGTATTTTTACTTTTCTTTTGAACAATTTTTGGGTATAAAAATGGGCAAATATTGTAAGATTTATTCTTCTGCTACTGCCTTTCATTTAATTTGATTTTATTTTGATTGCATGTTTTTCTGTACTTTGTTAATGTGTTACAAATTAAATGAATAAAGAACTACTACTACTAATGTTAAGCTTCATTTATAGAAATTATGTATTTCTAGTCCTTTAAATATGTTGCCATGATGATCTGACCAATTTCTTTTTTCTCCATAGACACAATTATTTACAATGGTACCACTGAAGGGAGCTGGGAAGATTACATTCATATTTCCAGCGGTGGGCACCAGTCCGCTAAAGCGCACATCCGCTAATTGCGGACCTAAATATTTCATTTGCGCTTTAGCGGTCTAACTAATTTTCATAATTCATAAACAGATTTGCACTTTCTAAAATTAAAATGCAGTACCGCTAATAACTTATTATCTGCGAGTATTCATCACCTTGAACAGCTGAAGGTCTGGCTTTTTATTTAATCACCAGTAGAACATCAACTGGTTTCATAGTAAAGATAATTCCCTAAAGATTTTGTTATTTTCTTGAACAGAAGAGGGCTTGGTGTCAGTGACAAATACCATGAGGAAACACAGTATTGGAACACCACCCTATCTGTTTTACAGAGAAATAACACAGGGCTTTATCCTGTGATTAACTGTTCAGCGTGACGGTTCATAAGTTGTATATTTATATGCATTTGGTTTGTGTGTGTGTACAGTGTTTCCCCTACCATTATAAAAGGCGGGGCGGGCCCCCCACCAACGAGACGGCCCACCCTTCTAAGAATTTCACAGTGCGTAGTCATTTTTATTTAAATAAGTCCAGATAAAGTCCAGAGCTATTTTTTGCATCCTTCCATATCCACCTCTCGCCAAACTTGGGGAAAAAAGACGGCGCAGAGCGAGGCTGAGCGCTGTGTGTGGTCCTCACAAAGATAGGAATGTGTGTGTGTGTGCATGATGAAAACTCCGCTTCTAATCACGAAGCACCGATGCGACAGCTTTGTTAGCTACTCTTTTTCTTTAAAATAAAATGCGACAGGTGAAGCCACAGCATGGTTACCTTATCAATAATTTAGAACCACAAACACAGACCAGGTGTGCGACCAGGTTCCCACGAGTCCATTCATGTTCTATAAATAGCGCTGTTGAGGGACGTTACAGCGCAGCTGTAATGTTCCTCAACTTGGAAAAAAGTAACCAGAGTAGTTTGTAAACTCAAATCCAGACAGAATCAGCTGCTGTACAGGTCCTGCTGGACTCAAACATGGAGCTGAGCTCCTCTCCTCTGTCTCACACTGCAGGTCAGACAGTCCTGTTCAGGAGCATTAACCCTTAAGGGCCCAGATAATAACTGGTCTTTAAAATGTGGTAAATTATTTTCAGTGACTGAGGGAAAGCTTTTTTGATAGTTGCATTTTTAACTGTTATCCTTTATATCTACAAGAGTTACAGTTCTCTAGAGTTCTAATAATTCTTAGAAAGGACATGATTTGACGTTTTTACTGATGATATTTTATTCAAAACATGTTAC